CCAATGAGTGGCGACTACTCAACCGTATCATTATATTAACAAATTATTGTCGTCGCGGTGTCTGGTCGGTCCGCCGAAGTCGTCTTCGGCTTGGCGGCGAGCAAATGATGATATCGTACACAATTATTATTATTATTAATATTTGAGATCTGGCCGACGCCGTCTCGTCGCGGTCGTCACACGCTGGGCCGGCCGTGGACGAAGCGGGTGCGGTCGCGTACTGATATTGCGATATTTAGGAACGAGAGACGGGCAATTACGACGGCGGATGGTGGCCGCCGATCGTGGAGTGGTGCGCGCCCAGGTGGTGGAAGTACGCGGCGGCCGCGGCGGCCGAGTAGCTCTGCGTCTGATAGTGGTGCGCGGCGGAATAGGCCAGCGGGTGGAAGAACGGAGGTGCTCCGGCGGCCGACGACCCGGTCGGCCCGGGCGGCGGCACCGTCGGGCTGTTCACGTCCAGCCCGGGGTTCTGTTTCTTCCACTTGGTCCGCCTGTTCTGGAACCATATCTTCACTTGGGTTTCGGTGAGCGACAGCGACAGCGCCAGGTTGAGCCGCTCGCACACCGACAGGTACCGCGTCGTCTTGAACTTGTTCTCGAGCGCCACCAGCTGTTCGTACGTGAACGCCGTCCGGGCCCGCCGCGGTTTGCCACTGCCTCCGTTTTTCGAACCGCCGCCWCCACCTCCGCCTCCGCTACCGCTGCCGCCTCCGCCGCAGTGGTCGGAAGACGACTTGGATTTTTTCGCGCTGCCTCCGCCGCCACCGCCGCCGCCAACGCCAGTCGACGAACTGCCGTCGCCACTGACCTTGTCCCGGTCGTCGCTCATGTCGCTGCCGCAACCGTCTCCACTCACGCTKATGTCCTCGTCATCCTCGTCCATTATGTAGTTGCGCGAACATTCTTCGCCTGTGAACAACAAAAGTCGAATACGACGATGAGTGTTTATGTCGTCARCTATTATCAAGTAATTATATATTAAAATAGTATATTGTAAAAAATAACCTAACCTACACTCTAGACCCGAACCGACCGAACCGAAAAAATGCCGGCCAGGGGCGTAATTAAGGGGCGATGAGGGGGAAGACCCCTCTCAAAAAACCCCTCTTTATTTCACTGTTGACGTTTTATATTTGCAGGTTGGGTATGTTTTATTAACGCTTACAGATTTTGCTAAACCCCCCCCCACAACCAAATTCCTGATTGCTCAACATGATGCCGATTTTATGTGTTATTATTGTTATTATATGACGAACATTTGCGTAATCGACGAGTTATTGATGTCGATCACGCAAATTTTCGGATTTGAGAACGAACCCAAACTAAAATATGGAGCGTAATTGAGATTTTATTGAACAGAAAAAATAGTTGAACAAATATATTTTCAGTATTTTTGAAATACGAAATAAATAATTTAAAATAATTAATTAATTTTTTTAGAAAATATTTATGATGCATACAAATATATGCAAAAGTCAATTAAAATCGACGAAATATTCACTTTTCTTCTATAGAATTAACAAAATATGCATTTTTAATTTTCAATTTTTAAACTCGACATTGCACACCTCGGAATTCCAGCTTGGTCTGCTATATAAATCGAGAGCTTACCGAACAGTATGCAACTCATGTAAGTTCCAAACTCTAACTATAAACCTGGTTAAACCGTAAACCGCGCAAACACGATGTATAGGTATAGGTATAAAATTGTAAAATATCATAAAATGCGGACGAAGAGATGTTTTTTTTTTTTGCACGTCGTGCGATTATGTCGTAGAACAAAACATTACGTTTTCGTGGCCCAACTCTAACAACAGTGTTTTGTATACAGATTTATAAACATTTTATTAAATAGGTAGGTACACACCACTACAGCGTGTTTACATGACGTCGTATACCAATCCGGCACAGCGTTTCCGGAGGGGTAACTTTTCGTTTTATTCGAAGGATTCCGTATAGGATTGTTTTATCGTCGTCTAATGTATATAGTTATATAAGTTGTCACCATCGCGTATATATATATATATATATATATTATATATATTACCGTCGATAAGGGTGGTCGCGTCGAACGACGAGTGTACTTATAAAATAAGAGACGTCGAACCGTTTTTCCGCGGCGCCCATATGACTACGACGAGTATATACATAGCAGGTATAATTGAGTTGGGGGTTTTTTTTTGAAAAATATATAGCTACGAATACCTACTAGGCACACGATTTAAAAAAAAAAAACGGCCTATAAACTTTACGCATTTTCCAAGAAATATCAAATAATCATCCTCCTTATACCGGCCAAGTGTATTAACGAATCACGCTTTTTTTTTTTTTTATGATTAGCGAATAACTGCGGAGAACTCGCAGTGTGAAACTGTTTTTCAGTTTCTCCGTCCGTCCGATTTCCTTATGCAGAAAGGTCATAAAATATTCCATTAAAAATTCAAACGACCCGACTAGAATATTATTTGTACTTACACAATCCAATTCCGTTTTCCCGGAAAAACAAATGGCATTCGTTATTTGCAGGGAAAGTTAAAACGCAAACCGTAGATATATACCTGCTCATAAAGTAAGTATAATAGGTAGGTACATAATAATATTTATTTTGAGAAATTAGCTTTATTGCGGTGAATTGTGTTCAGCGTTTTGCCGTTTTCGGCGTAAAATATAAAACTGATAGGTACATAGTTTAAAACTCCGTGAGCGGAGATCGCCTGCAAAATCGAATAGTAATAATAATAAAAATTAATAATGATGAATCGTTGTTGTGATTACATTGATGAAAACCGTCGACGAAATAGACGATAAAACAATGATGTGTATAATAATTATTATTGCGCTCTGCTGCTGCAGGTATGGCGAGCACCGGAGATTATACGCCACGGCCTTATCGTACACGTTGATAAGAACGAGTCACAAAATATATTAGTTATTTATTGAAACGATATAAAAGAACTCATCAATAATCATGCTGGCCGCAAAAGATGCGAATTCGAATCCGTCGTTAGCAACACAGCAGTTCGTCTGATATCGAAAAAAAAAATATTACATAATACCCTAAACTTCGCTGTATCAATTATAAGTGGCAGGAACCTAACTGTAAATCTGCGTTTGCACAAAACTCCATGAAATCGAAAGTTGTGTATATCCATATGACCACATCTTACGGACCTTCTAAGAAAGTTCGAAGTCATATTAATGAGATTCGGGATCGGGCCAAACGCAAATTAAGCATCACAGTCATCTAATTAGCGAAAATAAGCCTCCAATTTTGCCCGTCACATGTAGCGCCTGTAGGTATACCAATCAAACACATAATGATGGAATAATGTCGTTCGTTCTCTGAACTAAGACTGCTGGTCGCACAACTACCGGAACATCTTTCAGAATCTTTGGGATGCAACAGATATACACCACCGAAATAAAAAACAAATCTTCAAAACAAAATATAAAAAAACTCCTACATTATATTATATGCACATAAAATTGTCTTAATATCATTAAAAAAATAAGATCTCGATGTGAYATTGGTAATAATATGTAACCCAAAGGCCAATGTCGTCGACGGTAATTTTATTTTTTAATTTATAAAAAATAATTATACAACGATAATGACATAATACATATTTTATATGTTATACAATAGGTATAGGTATATTGTTTTGCATTAGTTATACATCGCGTGTAATTGTATATAGAATATTCGTCGTGTTTTAATAACACATATTATTACTATCATACAGTTTCCAAAATGTCGGAGAAGACCAGAAGAACTCTGTGAGGTAGACGTGCTATATATGTATTATATCATATTATTATTATAAATTGTACAACGGAGTTATCATCATCCCTCCCACACTACTCCCAC